AAGAGGGATTGGGAATTGTTGGTATGCTTTCTATCATCAGCAATAGGCTTTCATCTCTCCCTATATGACCAGGGGGCAGCCCCCTAGTATAATCAAATTATTAAAATAATGCTCCTGTGACATGGGGCAGAAACAGTGCTTTGTCACCTATATGAGTATGTAGATAGATATAACAATAAATATTTTTCATTTTTTTCTCTCCAGATACAACAGTACTGTCATCTCAAATTCCGCACTTAGCTTGCTCGGTGTATCATATGACATTGAAGGACTTGCCAGCCATGGTTAGGCTTTGGTGGAATAGCTGTGAGAAACGTGTCTTCAATGTTGTAGATAAATTTACAAGCAAATACGTCAGCAATGTACTTTCTTTACAAGAAATATCTTCTGTGCAGACTAGCACACAGTTATTTAATGGCATGACGGTTAGTAAGGACTTTTATCTTAAAAAGTTGTCTGTGAATTGTCTTGTAAAAACTGAAATATTACAAGCTCTCATGTCTAAACTAGGCATTAAATGCAGTAAGGAGCCTTTATAGTGATCTCTTACAGTTGTGATTCAACTGAAATCCTGACCCTGTGAAAGTCAGCAGTTATGCCATTAATTTCAGTGGAGCCAGGATTTTACCCTAGATTTTCATCATAATGCTGTAATGGTCAAAGCAGAGATGTTGCTTTTTCAGAACCTTGTTGATACTCTGGCAATGACTAAAATATCTTTCTATTATCATATATGATTGATAGCATAATTTCAGTTGTTATTGGTCTAGCAAGGTGACATTTGTTTGCTGTATAATTGCTGACTTCCTGTATGTCATGCACTTCAGTCAGGATGAATCTGCACAGCACCCGAAATAAGATATGCAATTTGCGCTACACAAATTGCGTAGCTTATTTCGAGTCTATTTCAAAATAGCTTATTTCTTCATTTGACGCTGTCTACATGGCACCAAATTTTGAAATAAAGCACTATTTCGAGACATCTTTTATTCCTCGTGAAATGAGGTTTACAGGGATGCCAAAATTATTTTGAAATAGCAGATGCGTTCCTTGGATGAGGGGTAGCTATTTCGGGATAACTCCGGTCTTGAAGTACCCTCGGGGTGTGTCTAGACTACACCCCTCTGTCGGCAGAGAGATGTAAATGAAGCACTTCGAAAGTGCAAATGAAGCGGGGATTTAAATATCCTTGCTTAATTTGCATAATCACATCATGGCGCTGTTTTGAACAAGCGCCATTTGGAAACTGAAACTGCAGTTTAGACGCATTTTTTTTGACAATGGTGATTTTTCAAAAGAGCGCCATGATGCGATTATGCAAATGAAGCTCGGGATATTTAAATCCCCGCTTCATTTGCACTTTCAAAGTGCTGAATTTACATCCCTCTGCTGACAGAGGGGTGTAGTTTAGATATAGCTTCAGAGAAGTTTTTTTTGTAAGTGCTGGTTTCTACAAAAACACTATGAATCTGATATTTTCTGGTTAATGTAATTTTTTTAAATTTATCAGTGATTGTCATCCATCTTTCAGTCTGATTGGCTGGTATAAGTTCTGTTTTAGCATGACAAAAGTCATACAACATTTTGCCTGACAAAAGTTCATATTTTTCTTTTACGAAAAGCTTTGTTGGTCTCTTTTTTACCTGGTATATGCTGTAAATTATGGATGTTTCATGTAATGTAAAGAGACTTGAGAAAGTATGTTTCACATAAAGTGAGATTTTGTCTATCTTTTGAATGTTTGTTTTTCTTCAGGTAAAAGCTCGGTCTGCTACTCGGGAGGTGATTGCTACCTATTCAGTGGATGATATATTTATTGAACTGATAATACAGCTTCCATCAAATTACCCACTGGGATCAATAACAGTTGAGAGTGGAAAGAGGGTTGGTGTGGCTGTTCAGCAGTGGCGTAACTGGATGCTACAGTTAAGCACGTACCTCACTCATCAGGTGAAGTTTTAAGCAAAGTCCTTGGTTTTGACAACTTAGGAAATACAAACAGTGACACAAAAATGAAAGAACAATCTTAGCAATGTAGTGCTGACTGAAATTTTAACACAGGCTCCACAGCCGTGGATGATGAACCATTAGAAAGTCTCTAAACTTCCTCTAACATAAGACCCTCTAAAATTGGGTTAGTTGGTATTTGTAGATGTTGCTCTTCACTTAAGATTATAAAAAGATTAACAAAAGGGTTCATGTGAATATGTTTATAAATGCTCTTAAATGGACACTATATATTATGAGTTCTGTAAAAAGGAACATGTGTGTTTGGAATCCGAAGGAAACATTACAGGATTCTGTCCATTGTATTTAAAATGCATGACTTTATTTTATTGTATACATAAAAATTGCATATGTTTTATCCCTTTACCACACCCTTCATATATAGCATGTCATCTTAGGTTAATTTTTCAGGATACGGTCCAAGCCCTATGTATTTATACAACTCCTTATACAATCGAGCCCAAATCCTGCTTGGGTCTTCTGGGTGCTACTAGAAATAAGAGATGTTCTAAAACAGCAACATATCACTGACTGCTGTTATGACTTCTTCCCTCTGTTAGAATGGAAGTATTATGGAAGGCTTGTCTTTGTGGAAAAATAATGTGGACAAACGATTTGAGGGCATTGAAGATTGCATGATCTGTTTTTCAGTCATTCATGGTTCCAATTATTCTCTTCCCAAAAAAGCCTGTAGAACATGCAAGAAAAAATTCCATTCAGCCTGTTTGGTGAGTACTCAGATTTGGTCTTGTGTACATAATGTGGACAAACGATTTGAGGGCATTGAAGATTGCATGATCTGTTTTTCAGTCATTCATGGTTCCAATTATTCTCTTCCCAAAAAAGCCTGTAGAACATGCAAGAAAAAATTCCATTCAGCCTGTTTGGTGAGTACTCAGATTTTGTTTTGTGTACATATATATATATATATATATATATTGCCTAAATTTAACATTTGGTTCAAATTGGTGTATGTAAAATATATTAAAGCTGACAAAATGGTAATCATGAATATGTCAAAAAAGGTTGATGTCTTTATTGCCATACAAAAGAAAATTACTGCTACTCTCAACAAAATTCCTGTTTGGTGAGTACTCAGATTTTGTTTTGTGTACATATATATATATATATATATATATTGCCTAAATTTAACATTTGGTTCAAATTGGTGTATGTAAAATATATTAAAGCTGACAAAATGGTAATCATGAATATGTCAAAAAAGGTTGATGTCTTTATTGCCATACAAAAGAAAATTACTGCTACTCTCAACAAAATTCCAACAGGGTTCTCACTTGGGGATCCTAGCTTCTTAAAATGAGACCAGAAAATAGAGAGAATCCTGGATATTATCTTTCAGAAACTGTAATTGCTTATGCAATGCTTATTGGACAAATAACTTTTACTAAAATATTTAGTGTTTGGTAACCATTTCCACTTGGCAAGTTGTAAGTCACTAGATCAAAGCGTTCAAGTGTAAATCATTTTTAGAATTCATCATATGTTCACATTTTAAATGTTGCTATTTCTCTTTCAGTACAAATGGTTCACATCTAGCAACAAATCCACCTGTCCACTTTGTCGAGAGACCTTTTTTTGAAATATAACTCTCTCTTCCCTCTTCAATAAAAATAAACAAAGTACTAAATGAAGAGGAGGCACAGATTCTGTTTGAAGAATTACATTGAAGGAAACCAACTTTTTGAAAATATCAGAATGATCTTAAATTGCTTGGCAGAATGGATGATCCATGTTGATTTCTGAATTGTGCTTTTGTAAAGGGTTCTGAAACATTTATTTGATATAAAATATATATAAGAATAGTTTATTTTAATTTGTGTATTTTTTAAAATGTTAAAGTATTCTGAAAATTCAGAGGTGATTTCAATAGTTATGTTTGCACTGAAGTAGGTTAAATTGAGTGAGCTGTAGTTGAGCACTATCTAAAAACAATCCAACATACTGTTAGTCACTTAAGAAAACTGGTTCCTCTAATTTACAGAAGAATATAGTGTTGGTGGCATGAAGATCTAAATTTCTGGGGCCATTAAAATTCCATTTATAAAATGCTTCACATTTGAATTATTAGCTGCAGCTGCTGTTGCATCAATTTAAAATGTGATAAAACATCTAGTAACTTAGTGCTAAAGCTTGATCTGAAATAAGGTAATCTACAGTATTTATAAATTGAATGTTAGTGTAACGATTGAAAAATTCACCAGATAAATTGAGAGAGAGAAGTTAGAGAAAAGGAAGGATGCAGACCAGCTGTTGTACTGTCATTGTTGCTGCTTTCTTTATCAACAGTTGGTGAAAACTTAACCTGTTAATAAAATTTTATGCTCCACTCTTATTTTCCAGTGATCACAGGGATTTAGTTTTATAATTGAATTTAATGTCACAACTTAAAATTGTTGTTTCACTAGTAACTTCTATTCATGCAAGATCATTTTCTAGAGAAATATATGTACAGAGCATATAACTTCTTTCAACTTTGAAGCCATGTTATTTCATGTGTTAAATATTTGTACCTGTAAAGTCACACCAATGGAAAGGGAGAAATAGGCCTATTATGTCAGTCTTTAATTGTTTTGGATTATCCTAGGCTGTTTTTTTTTTTTTTGGTCGTCTGGCCAGAGGGGTTTCTGAAAAAATACTCTAAATTGTAAGTGACTAGTGCTTTGGGTATCCAGTTAGACAGATCTTTTAAAAGGGCCTTATTTTCAGATGAGGAGTGCTCAAGCCTTGTCTCAAAACCCGGCCCTTTCAAGGTGGGCACACACAGTCACTTGTAGCTTTTAAAAAGATGGGCCTATATGACTGATAGGTGGAACTGATCCGTAATCCCAGCACTGAGCTGCTAGGATTTTTTGCATTTTGTTTATCTTTTAATAAAGAGAGCAAAACATGTTTTAATATTAATCTTTGAAAAACAGAGGAAAATAATTTGTTTCCATGAATTTGATATTTGAGTAGGACAGAAAAGCTTCTCATTTTGTTTCAGTAGTTTATTAAATATTAACCATTCTAAATGATTATTTAGATTAGGAGACAACTTCTGCTGGATAAACAAACACCATACACCTTCATTAGTTAAATGCAGTTCATGAGATAAGGGCTGCTACTAAAGACAGCATAGAGTGGCTTGCAGGTGGTTCTGTTAGGCATCCGGTAGTCCAGAGTTTGGTGGTGGGAAGCAGTACCTTTCTTCTTCAAAATATCTGGCTGTGGCAACTCTTTCTAGCCTATACCTGCCCTTTGGTAATTCATAATTGTTTAATCTCTTGCGGTAACAATTTTTGAAAGAAGATTAATCTTAAACCACTGGCAGAGTAACTATACAGTAGAATATAAAACATAGGGTCTTGATATTCAAGTCACTGCAATATCTAAGGCTGAAATCTTAACCACACATCTCACTCAGTTCAATAGAGCCAGGATTTCACCCCATACTATACAGTGTGTGGTCTGCCATGTTTTTCTTGGAAATATTTGTCACAAGATATGAAGAGTAACACCCACTGGTCCTATTCCTACTTACAGCACAACATTTAGCAGCTCCAAAACCATTTTATCAAAATAGCTCAAGAACTGAGAGTAATCCTTGTTTAGTGGGACTCTTGTAGTATTTTCTAACTTTAAATGCATTACTGTCAATTACTGTACTTCTGAGTCTATTGCAATTGAGACAGATGGAATAATCCTCTTTGCCTGCAGTTTGAGGACAGCAGCTGTGTTACTCACAGTCCCTTTAGCTTGCTGCACAGTTTCTGCCCCTATGGCAGTTCATTTATGGATCACTATCTTCACCACTACAGGCCTCCCTTCTACCCCAAAAATATGACAGAAATGTCCTGTAAACACTGGACCACATTAAAGCAGTGTTCTATAAAGGTGCTGGTGGTGGGCACAGGTAGACTTGGGGCACTCACTTCATTCTGTTCCTGGATGACATTTTGATCAGAGCTCTGACTAAAGTAACTGTTCACCGTACCACAGTCTTACACTGAAACTGTCCAGTTTGACTGCTCTGAGAAATCTGGATATTTGAGGATTGTCGGCCAAGAAATCGAAGGACACTGCTTGTAAGATGTTAATTATGGTTGACACCTGGCGTGCTACATGCTGGGCTGGAGTCCTTTGTTTATGCTGTCTTGAAGAGAGTCCAGAATACTTGGGATAACTCCCTGGGAGTTTTTTTGTTTTCTTGATATCATTACCTCCTGTAGAGTTGGAGAAACAGGCCCTTAGTGTTAAAATCTAGTGAGGGATCTTGCCATCACTTTGATGAGCATTTTCCACAGGATCTTCATTGGCACAGAGAGCCTGTACTTCAACTCAGGATATCTGCAGTGAAACAATGTGGTCAATTAATACCTTGAATAGACATGATAAAGTGGCCTCCTTTGACAAGAAGATGCTATATGCACTGATCCAGAATAAATTTGCTATTTTGAGGGAGGATTTGCTTGCTCTAATCCTACTACCTTCTGCCTTCCTTTCTTACCCAATAATTCCTTTTTTATCTGTCTCCCATATGCCCTACAGATGGCTTTGTAGCAAAATGACAAAGTTTAATTTTTAAACCTACAAGCTATGTCTCTACTGCAGGCTTTTTGCACAAGAATGGGAAGAGCTCTTGTGCATGAAGGCAGTGTGGACGGGCAACAAGGGTTTCTTGCGCAAGTGTCTCCACACTGCCATGGACGCTCTTGCGCAAAAGCACCTGGCAGTGTGGACACACCCTTGCGCCAGGGGAGATGGAGCCACAGTTTATTGGCTAGTTAGCCTACTGTACATAGGTTTACTGGTTGGCATTAAAGTTGTTATTCACAGAATGATGAGTTTTTGTATGCAACCTGCATAGTCTGATGGCAAGCTAGAGAAGGGAGCATGATCAGCATGACAGCTTTCAACTGCAGGAAGGAGAGGAATAGCCCATACTTCTCAGAATTATGGGAGATTCTGCTAGCAAAAGGAAATGATTGACTACAAACTTCCTATTCTTAAGTATATTAAAGAGTGGGGCCCTTTGTTTTTAATTTTTATTTAATAAATATTTTATTTAGTTTTTCCCTGGATTGTTTCCGTGTTTACTACCACAACAACAAGAAAAGGTGAAAAATCAGTGCAAAGTATATTTTTCTGGGCAAATATCAGGGTTTATTTTGGTGGACAGAAAGACAGGAAAAGATACTGAGTAGATTAATGCTTTGAATTCTGTTTATCAATGTGGTTTGCTGCAGAACTAACTCACTTCAAAACACAATGCCATCTTTAATAAAGTTTTCATTTGAATAAGTTTACTGTTGTAGATTTAGGACTATTAGCCTATAATTATTTACATTTAATAATTGGACCACACCATTTGCAGCGTGTACACAAACTAATATATTATCATAATACATGTCTCAATATATTGTATTTTCCTAATAAAGCAAGTTATTTTTTTATACATTTGAAGGATATAAAAGTGGGTGAAAAAAAAAATGGAGTACAGCATTTTTGTAAAACCCAGAAATTTTGGGGGGCAAAAATCAGCTTAAACTGAAAGTGAAAGGGCTTATATACAGGGAGATAATCAGACCATACAAGGCTCCACAGTATACATTTTATGGGGTTTTAGTATAGGAATGGTATCATATAATAGTGATAAATGGACCTGCTTCTTAAAGAACTATCATTTGTTAGTTTTTTATATTCTGGAGAGGTAGGACTCTACAACAATAAAAGTCTTGCTCGGTTTTCCTGAAGAGGTCAGCAGACTGGATAATCTCTCTTAAAGTTCATATGTTGAGTTATGATTTGTGCAGGTTGAACCTCCCTGGTCCAGCACCATCAGGACCTGTCTGGCCTCCAAAAAAGGAGTTTGTAGGACTAGGGGTGGTCTGGTGGAGTAGGGGGGCACCAACCTCTCTACTGGGCTCCTCTCCCTAGCAACCATGCACCAGTGTTCACAGGCCCCTGGCTGTGGCAGCCCTTTAGACTTCGTAGTTCTGCAAGCTCTGGCACTCCTGACAGACTCACAGCCCTGCTACTGCAGGCTCTGAATTCCTGCAAATTCTGGACAGCTTCCCTGCCCCACAGGCTCTGGTGCCCTGTGGGCTTCACTGCCCCCCCTGGCCAGCTCTGCACCCAGCCACTGGCAATCTCTGCCACTGGGGCTCTGTAGTCCAGCAACACCTGTGGTCTTGATGGACCACAGATATTGCAAGACCAGAGAGCCGCAGACCGTAGAAATTCAACCTGTAGTTACAAAATAGTCTGACCATTATAACACTATTCATGTTTACCTTTCAATCTCTTCAGCAATGGAAGATTTAATAGTCATCAGGACTTGCTGAATTTGAGAATGGAGAGAGTTTCTCTTCCTGCTTGTCTAGAAAGTACTCTAGTACCCCTTAAACCATATTTCTTCATTGTTTCCAAAATTTCATCTGTAATTAAAAATGTGTAGCATTACAGTTCAATTTGTATTAATCACCACTTAAGCTCATCCCATCTTAAACTGATTTATATGCTAAAAGCAAAAACAAATAATCACAATCTCATAAAATATCTATCATACTCCTTCAGTTGTTTAGAACAATTTTTAAAGTGATCATCCAACAGAACCAAATGAACTTGGCTTTCTATTAGTGCAAATGTTGGATTTTAATGTCTTTGAAAAATATACTAAGTACTTAAATGAATAGGTAAAAAAAGTTTAAGATTAAAAACTGTGCTCAAAGCTTAAGTGTAAGCTTGTAATAGTCTATATATTAACACAAAAGCCAGAATGAGTTTCCTGCGGAGAACTGGAAGTCCACCAGTCTTCGCTTCTTGAGGGGCCCCTCTAGGCCCGTAAGCTGAGGCATCTCTATGGCCACTCATGTGGGGAGCTGTGAGGCATGGGGAAGTGGCGATGCCTCCACGTGCCCCGTGGGGGGTAGGGTGGGAGATGGGCGAGAGCACAAGTCCCATGAATGTGATCCTGGTGAGCTCTGGAAGCCGCAGCAACAAGCTACTCTTCTTCCCTTTCCAGCAGGGCCCACCCCCATTACACCCAGACCCTGCACTCCCATTCCCCTCACATACCCTACCTCCCATATCCCACACCTCCAGTGTCTTCCCTCCGTCCCAGACTCTGCCCCTCCAACCCCACTGCGCCACTGCAGCCTCCCTTCCAGATCCTGTACACCCAGTATTCTTCTGCACCCTCCCTATGCTCCTTCACCCTTCCTCCCACCGCACCTCCACATCCCAACATTATGGGAAACACTCATGGTCTGAAAAATTCCATAATCTGGCATATCCTATTTCCCAAGGCTGTCAGATTAAAGCAGTTCAAGGGTATTACACAAGAATGGGAATGTTTGATTAGCTATAGCACCTTAGCCTTGTGCTCAGTTTTCACGTGAGCATCAGTAATACAGTTTGGCAAACAGAAGGATTCTATTACCTGGATTGTTCTCCTTAACTGTAACTAAATAGAATAACCCTCCTGTTGAAAGCAGATCTGGTACTAAAGGAAAAAGTCTATCCATTACTTCTCTGCCATTTTTGCCTCCAGCCCAGGCTGCCTCTATTCCATGGCTTTCTACCTAGGAGAAATTAAAGGAAGATTAATTTTGTTACTAATGGTTTACAGATGACTATAGAGTGCTATAGATGTTCTTGACACTTTAGAAAGAACGTTACCACAATCCTTATCATAAGGAGTGTATTGTATTAAAATAATTTCAGTTGTAAAACTGCTAGATGGCAGTTTAGTGTATACAGTGTACATGTCAAATTTCAGAACTTATCCTCCCTATAGATGAGCTCTGTTTGGATTTAAAGAAGGTTTTTGTTGACACTGTTTGGAAATAGACACATTTTGTAACATTCAAAGCATATCCTTCCTCTAGAGGCATATGGAAGGTATTAGCATAAATTCCACCCAGGAAGGATATGTCTAAATTCCAATAAAACACTTGCAGCTGGTCCATGTCAGCTGACTTGGGCATTTTAAAATTGCCGTGTAAATGTTTGGATTTGGGTGAGAGCATAGGCTCTCACAACCTCCCCTTTCATGGTTTTATACATTCCAATTTATAACCCTGTAGAGTAAACTCCCCAACCTGAGTCAACTGTCATGAGCCACCCATGGGTGTTTTATTGCTGTGTAGACATTAATTCAAGAGTCCTGAAGAATAAAAGAGAAAGACAAAAATTAGAGCAGTCCAGAAAAAGGAATTTCTGTCTCATAGAAATTGTTGAGGTTTTGGAAACATTTAATTCCAAGTTTGGATAAAAGAGTAAATAGCTCAAGATTTTTCACAAGCCAGAAATTCTGAAAAAAATCCAAAATCCAAAACAGAATCTTGCAACTTTCCAGCTGCCCATCTGTATGGCTCTTGGCAGACTTTGGGCAGGCTGCCACACGAGATGAGAACCAAAGCACTCATCCCTGAAAATTTTGATTTTGTGGAAAAGGTATTTTCCACCAGAAAATCATTGGGCTTGTCTATTTGAAGACACTCAGGAAAGTTAAGGTAAATCAATTAGAGGTGTGAAGTCATTGCACCTAAATTAAGACACAGTTAAAGCTCTGCATGGATCTCTTACTCAGGAACGTTAGCATGTCTACACTTACTGGAGATCAGCACTGCAATGATCAATCCATCACGGGTCAATTTAGTGAGTCCAGTAAAGATCTGCTAAATTGACCACTGGTCAACTCCGCTAATTCAATGGAATGAAACACATAAGGCAAGCAGGGCTATGCCTAGACTATGGGGTTTTAAAAAACTCCGCCGCATCCAGAGAAAACGTCTGCTCTTCCGCTTATTTTTTTGCAGAAGAGCAGATACGCTGTTTCAGAAACCCTGTTTTCCTCCTTCCATGAGAAAGAAGGGCTATTCCAAAAGAGGAGGTTTTTCCAAAATTTGGCCCAGTGTAGAAGGGCCAGATTTATGAAAATCCTCTTCCGACAAATCTGTCAAGATATAGCCTCAACAGGACAGTTTCTCCTGTTGGCCCAGTGCAGTGTAGTATAGTTAGTCTACCTAAGCTACATTGACTCCAACTATGTTATTCAAATAGCTGTAGTTGTGCAACTTAGGTTGACTTAGCCATTACTTATGTAGATAAGGCCTAAGTTCATTGTAACTAGTCCAAAGTTAGTTGTAACTACACAAAGCAACTCAAGGGGTGTGGAAATCTCATACGCCTGAGCAATGCAATTATACAGACCTAACCCTCCGGATAGACAGTGCTATGTCAATGGAAGCACTTCTCCTGCTCACGCAGCTACAGCCGCTCAGGGCTATGGTGTATCTACACCAGAGAAGCCCTGTTGGCACAGGTAGCATCTTCACTGATGTACAATAGTAATGCTGTAGACAAGCCCTTAATCAAAGAATAAAGTCAGAAAACTCAAGTCCCCTTACTCCTGAATAAGATAATTGACAGAGGGAGGATTAAACATGCTTTAGTTTATGCGCCCTGACTTCACACTTTGGAAGATTCTCCTTAAATTTCCTAAGTGTCCCTGGGTAGATGGATTTAAGAATTCCCATGGATGGAACAACATTTTCTGGAACAGTGGTCAAGAGTTTCCTTATGCAGAAAGTGCAGTTAATTGCTGCAGAGCTAGTGATTCATATTTAGTGCAAACAGTTCTGCTATCACCACTGGCTCCACATGATCCCTGTGATAAATGGCAAGAAAGGGTTAAGCATCCTGCAGGATAAGTGACCCAAATTCAACCTACAGGGACATATTGGTAAATAAAACTTCAATTTACTTATGTATTGCAATCAAATGGTTCTTGTCTATGCTGTTCATTCAGAGATCCAAAGGAATTCTTAACATTTAAAAGAACTGTAAATATAGTGAATATCACTATATTCCTCTCCACCCCTGCAAATGGTGGAAGACTGGCAACAGCACTACTTTAATTAATGTAGCTAATTACCAGTGATGTTTAGGAAACAGGTCTATGTCTGAGTTTTGAGGATTATTTACTAGGATGTGTCTACACAGCACCTAGGATGTGTCTACACAGCACTGTAACTCGAAATAAGATACGCAATTTGAGCTACACAAATTGCATATTTTATTTCAACGCTATTTCGAAATAGATTATTTCGTATTTGGTGCTGTCTACAAAATGGTGCTTTCGAAATAAAGCGCTATTCCAAAATGTCCCTTACTCCACGTAGAATGAAGTTTACAGGGACGTTGGAATAATGAGCCCGAAATAATGGGCTTACTGTGAAGACGCAGGTATCCCAAAATAGTGTTGCAGTGTAGATGTACCCGACAGAAGGCCTGGAATTGTAGAGGAACCCTTGGATCCTGTCCTTTGTATCTCTTATCTGCTTGATGCTTTACGCAGGGGAAGCTTGAGTCGTAAGACTGGTATATCCAGTCCCCTCTGGATCACCTTGAATATGGACACTATGCTATAACCTGTGGACTAATTCTGAAAGAATTATTTACAGCTACAAAACTCATCATCTCTGCTATGAATCTGATCTCGGAACTGTACTCATGTCTGTATGAATACTGATCTTTTAACCAATACAGTCTCTTTTAAAATAGTTACTTGGGAGGTAATGTGTCCAATCCTTTAGGATAGGTAGAACTTTCAGTAATTCTCATCATATTTAACTTAGCTGTTTGGGTGGAAGCCCAAGGCTGGGTTGCTTTAAGGCAACTGTTGCTGGCTTCAGGGTAACCAGTAAGGTATTGTAGAAGCTGTTTTGTGCTTGGAAAAGCTAGGTATTGGAATCTCCACCAGCTTCGGGGATTGTATCTTCTTAAATCTTAGGAATTCCTACCTCTTCAGAGGAGGTTGCCACATACGGTGGATTAAATAGCAGGAGATCAACTTTTCCATTTAATCTTGGTAACAATCCTGTGACCTAAGGATAAAATTGAGGTAGGAAACAAGTTAGTTTTATTTAGGCAGTCCTTTTATTGGCTACATTTTTTTATTTTACAACAAGAACACACATACCCATTTCTCATTATACAATAAATAGTGAGAATGCAGATTTGTCATATATGGGATTAATATTAGAGATTAATCTTTGCATATAATCAATCATAATGAAGACAGGAAAAAATTAATAGATTTACAATTATATACTACTGAGTTATAGAAAGTCTTCTATACTTTGCTATGGAATTCTGACATTTAAAATAACTTAAGCCCCTTGGTCTTTCTTTCAGTGTGGTAGAACAGCATCTGAATGGTTACAGGCAAGCCTCCCACTGTACACTGTAAGAACTGTAAAATTATTAGAAGGTGCAGTTATTGGAACATGTGTCTTACCAAGTCAGTAATTACTGGGTGAATGTAAACTTTGTTAAGTACAGCTGTTTCCAAGGTACAAAAAGCTGCCATAGGGTTTATATCTGTACATCTGAAAGCAAAACATCAACGTCACATCAATATTACAAAATATAATTAAAAATTAATATAAGACTGTAACTGCTATTGCTTGATGTGACATCAAGCCTTGTGTGTGAATAAATGAGATTCCCCTGATCATGCACACATACTTCCACTAGTTCTCATCCAATTAGCACAAGTATAAATAGATGCTTAACTGCGGTAGTAGCAGCAAATGTACAGCTTAGCCATGCTCTGCACATAATGACTGTTTTCACCACTATTTTGCAGTCCAGACATAGCCTTACTGAATAATCATCATCTAAGCCAGTGGTCTCCAATATTTTTATGCCTAAAATCATTTTCTGAATTTTAAGGAGAACCCTGCCCCTTCCCCAAAGTCCTGCTCTCTCCATTCCCCCCTCTCTCCATCACTTGCTCTCCCCCATCCTCACTCATTTTTACCAGGTTGGGGCTGAAGGCTGGAGTTTGGGAGATGCACTAGGATGCAAAAAGGGGCATGGCTCTGAGAGGAGGGTCAGGGCTGGGGCAAGTGCTTGGCATACAGGAAGAGGTCTGGGATGCTAGCTGAAAGGGCTCAGAGTTAGGGCAGAGGTGAGGTGCTGATTCTGGGAGGGCACTCAGGACTGGGAGTGCAAGATGGGGGATGGAGTGTTGGCTACGGGAGGATGCTGGGAGCTGGTATACAGCCTCCTGCCAGCAGTGATGCTGGAACAATTTTTGGAGAGGAGATGCTGAGCTGCACCCCTCTCCCCAGCCCCGTCTATGCTCCTCACAGCTGTGGCTAGCAGCTGGGACTCCGTGTGCAGGGCTGGAGGCTAAGCAATCCCCCAGAGCCAGTATCAGAACTCCTGGACTGGCAGCAGGGTGGAAGGCCGGGATCTTGGAGCCAGCAGCAGAGGTTGCCATGTGGTGAGGCTGAGGCAGCTTCCTGCCTGCCATGAACCCAAGCTGCTTCCAGAAGGGACCAATGTGCCTATGTGGGAACATGAGACTTCGCATGTTGCTCCTCTCTTTTGGCACCATTACCTCAGTTCCCATTAGCCACAGTTTCCTGGGAGCTGCAGGGGGTAGTGCTTGTGGGCAGGAGCGGCACGCTGAGACTCCAGACCCTCCACACCTACGGGGACTATACTGGCTGCTCCTGGGAATGTCTGGCAGCATGAGGCCAGGGCAAGCAAGGAGCCTGTTGACCACAATCAACTGGAAGACTCCCCAGGATCTCAGCTTATTATGATCAACCAGTTAGTGACCACTGATCTAAGTCTTCAAAAAGAACATACAATTCTTGTTACTCATACTGTGATTATACACAGATGAAATTTCATACAATAACACTATCCTGAGGAAACATTAAGATTGCCCAAGTACTCAAAAGTCCAGGAAATGCAAAAGTTAAGGTTGCATGCCCAGATACAACTTTAACTTTGTCCTCATCTACGGATGCATTACAATGGTCTTGAATCATCACATATATACTATAATATCAAAGTTTTCTACTTTTTGTGCTTAGATAACTCAAAAAAGGCCAAGATAATTTTACCAGTCTTTCAAACAAAATTTGGGCTGAGAACAGACATCAGAAATTCAGTCTAAAATGGTTCTGTCTGTGAAAACAAGTGTTTTTAATCAGACTGCCTTTCCAGTCTCTCTGGCACTGCATCATAGACTCTCAGTGAGACCTAGTCCTTCAAACTCTTGTGCATTTGCTTAATATTTTATTAAAGCTAATGTTTGAAATAAAAATTGGTGGCAAACAATATTCCCTCTTTTTTCCATCCATATGAAAAATAAATTTTGTAATTTGCACTGAAGCATGTACACCACCAACAGAACCACATGCTGCCCACTATAGGCGTTCTGCTAATCAGTCGGGCTAAGGGCGGATAAAAATCAGATTTTTTTAAAAATTGGATTTTATTGATTTAAATAGCATTTTTTTATTTATTTAAAATAACCAATAAAATTCAACTCATTTAAAAACAGTTACAATTAAATCTTATCACAAACATGCTACACATACACTTACAGTCCCTTAAACATGAGATCATGGCTATAGTCTGTCTGGCCTAACTACCAGCTCTTGGTTCTTGAAAGTTCTGGGCTTTCAAATTCTATTTCTCATCAGACTAAAAAGTAACATGTTCAAAGACAGACACAAGTGGGATTGGATTGTTTTTGTTCTGTGCTTATGTGGTGGTGGACCTTGGACAAGCATGGCACAGAACTTAGTTAAGACTTTGTTTTAAAGGCAGAGAGAGACAATATATAGGAAAGGATGGAGGCACCATAAAAAGGAACAGAGGAGTGGACTGGCAAGAAAGTCTCAGAGGGTAGCCATGTTAGTCTGTAACTAAAAAAAACTTTAAAAACCCCAACAATGCTACATGACCATTGTTGTTTTTTTAAGTTTTTTTGGCAAGAAAAAGGGAAGACGTTATTCAGTACACACACAACTTCCTATATTCCCCCAAACTACTGCCACAGAAAAACTGTCCTGGTCTCTGGGTGAGACACACCCCCTATCTGGGAATATTTTGAAGAAATTGGTTCCCTAGTTAAAAAGAAAACGTGTCAAGTGTAAGCAGTGCAGGAAGACGATGCAGTGCAGGGCCTAGTTGCAAGAATGAAACATCATAAGGAAAACTGCTAATTAGGAGAAAATGATGTGCATGAATCTAAGGCAGTGGTTCTCAAAGTGCAGTCCACAAACCACTAGTGGGCTATGGCCACCTTCCATGCAGTCTGCAGCTCGAGCTCAGCCCCGCACGCACAGGTGAGCCTGTGCTGCCACTCAAGCCTAATGGTTGCCGTGAAGCCGCAAGGCTGAAACACCAGCTCTGGCTTCTGCTCAGAGGGTACGTGGGGCAGAGGGTGTGAAGAAAGCCCCGATCTTCCCTGCCAGACCTGGCTGACAGAGAGAGGCAGAGCAAGTGAGGAGCATTTGAATTTCTTCTGGGGGGCTGTCCAAGCGCTCAGCTTACAGGGAATACTAGTGGCAACATAGTCTCCTTTTGGTTGGCTGGCTAAATTTATGGGAAACTGCACATGTGAGCATACCCACTGAGCTCAACAAAGTGACTCACATGAATGGAGTTTGACAAGTGTTTGCAGGATTGAGTTCTGAGTAAACATGGAAGAGGCAACATGACTAAAAATTCAGCTCAAGCTGGGAAGAAGGGATTTCTGAACGCTAGTCTGGGTGCTACCACCAAACCAAAAAGTGTTTTTCAGCAAGTAATTTAGAGCCAGATTTTCAAAGCTTTTTAGGTGTCAAACCTTTCTTCAGTGAAATCAGTGGGGGACAGAAATCTAAATGCCTTTGAAAATCCATTTGTAACATGTAAAGAATACTTCTCTAATGGTTGATGGTTGTATAATGTTTTGAAATGAAAAGCAGCATATACTGTAAGGGCTAAGTATTCTTATATTATTAGCTGCAATAATCGAAACAATTGGTATTATAATACTTACATGTACAATGCACTGGGTCCCACAATGGAAGCCAGAAATGTTGAAACCACACCTGATCCAGATCCTACTTCAAGGGAGATCTCAACTCTAAATTTAAATAAAAATAATTAGTATACACTGTGATTAAAATTGAGGATATAAAAAAATGTTAAAAATGTAACCATATAACCATTAAAAATTCTATAGGTTATACGAGCTGTGCGCTATGCAGTATAAGCTTTATGCTACAGAGTCAGCAGTGCAGCTGGCTTACTGGGAGCACGGCTGGCAGCTAGAAACCAGTGCATGCCAGCAGCCTGCTTATAGTATACAGAATATATAACAAATCAGCTTATAGTGTACAGTATATATATATTATGCAGTACATAAATTTTATGCAGTATATAAATTAACAGATGGAAGGAAACATGCAATGTGCCCCAGCAAGGGCTGTGGTAAGTAGGAAACGTACTGATTCCCTTAGAGAAGTAAGTTATTCCTAGAGAATTCTCTGTCAGCACAAAGCAGATCATATTGCACACCAGTCATCTTGAAGGCAATATGACTAGTAAACCTCATTATTAGCATGGTCCCTCGTGGCTGCCTGCTTGGCAGTATTGCCTGATCCAGCCCTGTGTATGTCTATCCTTGATACTTTTATGAAGCAGGTATTTTAATTAGAGATGTAAAAGTGCAATCATTTAAATGGTTTCTGTTATGGTTACAATGCCAGCCCCGGCTCTGGTCCCAGGGAGCCAGCTGCACCCGGTGCTGCAGTATAAAGCTTATTCTGGGAAGCTGGCTGCATTAGAGTCTGCAGTATAGGGTGCAGGGCCAGGAGCTGGCGTATAACTGTAACAGAAACTGATAGGCAGCTTATAGGCTAACCATCTAAATAACTACATTCTTACATCTTTCTTAACAAGATGTCAACAAGATGTCCACTGTCAACACAAAAATCATACTTCTAGACACATTTCCACCTCCATCTCCAAACAGCCATGACGTAAGAGTTTGGAGCAGACCACAATGAAACTGGGATCCCAAGGATATATATCTACACAATGCAGCTGTGCCCTGCCAGCTTGGTATACAAATTTGCACTAGCAGGGTTCAAGTTATCACTCTAAAAACAGGGACGTTAGAGTATAACCAATTAACCAATAAGCTAATGCTTATTGGTGAATGGTCTCAGTTACACTCAACCAGCTTCTGGAGTGGCATCTTCACGGTGGCAGGGCAACGATGACATCTCCCAAGGCACTGGGTGGGCAAGGGCTGACCGAAGGGAGAGAAGCTTTGCTGTGGCAGTGAAGACTCCTCCCTGTGAGCCGGGCAGGCAAGGGCATTATACTGCAGAACCCGCAGAGTGTGTAGCGGTGTAACCACTGAGATTTTCAGCAGTTATATGGTTACCCTATTACACAGTTATATCCCTAGCACGGATGTTAAGGTTCTGGTGAAGACTCAGCCTAGCCTTCCAAGGCCAGACAGGCTTGAGAGCACAAGCTGCTGCCCAAGGTGCAATGTCCATGCTATTTTTAGTGCACTAGCTCACACTTCACTAGCCTGAAGCCAGGCTAGAAACTATAGCTGAACTGTAACAAGAGCCACCAAGGAAAACCAGGCTGCTATGCGTGGACCCTCCACCTGCCCTTTACTGTGCACAACAGGGGTGGCAGGGACATAGGCCAGGATCTGCTCTTAGGTACCCCGGCCCCTCACCAAGGGTAGGTGGAGAGTTTGAGGCACGCCACAGCAGTCCAAGCTCTTACCATGGCCTGGCCAAAGGTGGGGCCTCAGGGAGAAAAAGAGGCACAGGGGATGACGCCAACGAGAATAGAATTCCTGCCTGTGTCGTTTTTGCAGTGTGAATAGGTGTTCACTCAAACTACAACAGTCCAATCCTCTTTCTTTCACTGCAGACATAGCTGTGGATGAACCAATCTTCCAAAAAGCTGTCCTTTGATTACCAAATGACTCGGTCGTAGAAGAGCAGCACTCGCTGTGACTCCACAGAGGCTGGGGTAGCTCTGAATCTTTCCCAGGGCCTCAGGTCGTTTTTGCAGTGTGAATAGGTGTTCACTCAAACTACAACAGTCCAATCCTCTTTCTTTCACTGCAGACATAGCTGTGGATGAACCAATCTTCCAAAAAGCTGTCCTTTGATTACCAAATGACTCGGTCGTAGAAGAGCAGCACTCGCTGTGACTCCACAGAGGCTGGGGTAGCTCTGAATCTTTCCCAGGGCCTCAGATGCTCACACAGCACCATGTCATGCGTGCACCGTTGCACGCTGCCCAGCCAGTGGGGTGTTTCGTCCCCGGCACAAGCAGGGCTCCACGAGGCAGGCGCTAAGGGAGGATGGGCGCAGAGCAGCG